TGTCCTTGTTAAAATATTGGTTTTAACTGTTTTATCAGAGAACAAAACTGACTTAAGCAAACTGAGAGATTGATGTATCTCTCATGAAAAAGTTTATCCGGTTGAGAGTTCACAGGGTTAGTGTAGCTTTGCTTCACAGGGTTTTCTAAGGACCTAAATCCTTTCCTCTATCTTTTCACTTTGCTGTCTCCCAAGGGTCAGGCCCTTGTTTGGGCCCATTTTGTGCTGCTACAATGGTATACAACAGGTAACTTATAAACAGAAATTGATTGGCTTACAGTTTTGGAGGCTGAAAAGTCTGACGTCGAGGCACCAGAAGATTTGATGATTCTGATTCCAAGATGGCACCTTGAACACGGCATCTTCAGATAATGGAAGGGCAAAGAGGCAAAAGGGGGTCGAACTTGCCCTTTTATAATGGGATTGATCTCACTCATGAGGGCTCAACCTCATGACCTCTTAAAGGTCCTATCTCTTAATATTGTAAAAATGGCTGCTAAATTTCATCATGAGTTTTGGAGGGAGTAAACATTCCAACCATAGCAGCCCTCATCTGCATGACTGAAGATGACTCACCAGCTGATCCCCAACCCTGCTTGTCCCTGTATACAGGAATGGGAAAGTAGAGGGAAAGCAGCTTGGTTTTTGTATTTTTGTTTGTTTTTCTTGTAGTAGCATGAACCTGTGAATGTACATTGTAACTGAGTGGCTAAAATCTCGGGGTTTCTAAAGGCAAGAAGGGGAGAGTGTGTATTGAGGGACAAGTAGCAATCTCTGCTACAATCTGTAAACACTGAACACTTTCAACTCTCCTGTCTTATCTGAGTTCATTTATCCGCCCCCCCATTCTAGTTTAATCTGATTTATAATATTGTGTGGGATGGAAATGACTCAGAAGAATACATGGATTTTTAATATATAGATTTTTGGAACTCAGAATGCATCATCTTTGCAGTTTCACAAAATCTGCTTAGCTGGAAAGATTATAACAAATAATTGTTCTGCTTTTTTTAAACATAAATGAGTTTTAATGGTGAGTTCACATAATTCTATAACAGCATCAATAAACTGTGGCAAACAGGCCAAATTTGGCTACTGTCTGATTTTGTAAATAAAGCTTTGTTAGAACATAGTCATAGTCACTTACTTACATATGATCTATGGCTGCTTTTGCAATACAACAGCAGAATTGAATAGTTCCAGCAAAGATTGTCTGACTTGCAATGCCTAAAACATTACTATCTGGCCCTTTACAGAAAAAGTTTGCCCGCTCTGATCTGTATCTGTATCATACGGCACACTGGACACAACCCTTTTTGTTTTTGCTGATGAATGTCTCTTCTAGAAATGCATAAGAAAACCCATCTGAGTTACTCAATGGTACTTATACATAACAATATCACTGTGAAACTAAGATACTTCTATAATGCTCACTGCTATTGCCAGCTTCTGGATTAAAAAACTGACAAGATGGACTTATAGAATTTCTGAAAAAAAACAATTACTTTAAGGTTTTAGCTTTAAAAATTCTGGGCCTTAACAGTATTGTTCTAATATTATTGTGGTAAGCTAAATATGACTCCCTAAAAGATTTCCATGTCCTAATTCCTGTAACCTATAAATGTTATCTCATGTGGCAAGGAAAGTACTTTGCATAAGCTATTACATTATGTATCTTGAGACGGGGAGATTACTCTGAATTATCCACGTGGATCCTAAATGTAACCACAAGTGTCCTTATAAGAAAGAGGCAGAGGGAGATTTGACACAGAAGAGGAGAAGGCATTTTGATTATGGGGTCAAAGATTCCTTAGCCACAAGCCAAGAAATGTCAGAAGCCACCAGAAGCTGGAAGAGGCAAGGAATAGATTATCTTCTAGAGGTTCCAGAGGGAGCATGGCCCTTCCAATACCTTGGTTTTGGCTCAGTGAAGCTAATTTCATAATTTTTTGCTTTGAGAATATTTAGAGAATAATTTTTGTTCTTCTAAGCTACCAAGTTTATAATAACTTGTTATAGCAACCATAGGAAACTAATACAGATTTTGGTACCCAGAATAGTTTTCTGCTATAACAAATGCCTAAAACTGTGGAAGTGGCTTTGAAATTGGATAATGAGCAGAGGCAGGATGAATTTTAAGGCAAATAATAGAAAAATCCTCCTATACTTCCTTACACAGGTTCTTGGTAGAAATATTGACATTAAAGTTGTAACCAGTGATCTTGATAGCTACGTTTACTTATTAGTTCCAATTTTTTTTTAGATTTTCTACGTATACAGTCATGCCATTAGCAAGTAATGACCAGTGTATTTCTTTCTTTCCAATACTTAGGCACTTGATTTTTCTTATTGACCTGGCTAGGAAAGCTTGTCTTGTTTCTGATCCCAGAAGGAAAGATTTCCATATTTCCCTATTAGTTATGATGTTTCACATAGAATTTTATTACTATACTATTAACCAGATTGAAGAAGTTCCATTCTATTCTCTGTTCCACATTAAAAAATACATAAATTTGTGTATCCATTGAGATAAGATTTTCTTTTTTATACTGTTAGTGTAGTAAATTACATTAATTGCTTTTATAATATTAAAACAATCTCGCATTACTGAAAAATTAAGTTACTACTGGTGAAGTTTCAGAAGAAAATGAAGAAGTCAGACAAAGCCTGTATCATCAGACATAGAAAATACATATATCATCATACACAGAAGGTTGCTAGAAATATGAATGCTCAAGTGCACTGATGAGTACTTGGAAGTAAGTGAGAAACATGCTTTGGCAATTTGAGGGAAGTGGATCTTTCAAATATTGGCAGAAAATTTAGCTGATTATGTTCTACAGTAACATGGAAAGCATAATTTGTAAGCAATGAACTCGGATATTTGGCTGAGGAGGTTTCTAAGTAAAGTGTTGAAGGTATGTCCTGATTTACTCTTACTGCTTACAGTAAAATGTGAGAGGAAAGAGACGGAAGGGAAAACTGCTAAGCCACAAGGAACTTGGTTTAGGAAATTCTCAGTCTATCCAGATTGTAAAAGTTGCTAAAATTAGGAGATTGACTGTTAGGAGTATGTTCTGGAGAGAATTATGAGAGCATACCTGGATTCTGCTAGTGCTGAAGAGATTAGGTATGTGATTCCTGGATCTCCTCAACCATTGCAGCAGTAACCAGGAAAAGAGATGAGGTTATTCAGGAAAGATCTGGGGTGCCTTCTCTTATCTAGTGGCATGAATCCCAATGACATACATAATAGACTCACAAGATTTTTTGGGGAATGTTATACCAGAAGAAATACAGCTTAGTCTAGGAAAGGACATGTTTGTGGTACCTTGTTATATATAATAGCCATAGGAAACTAGTACAAATAGATAATGTTTTTAACACTTACTGTGTGTCAACACTCTGCCTATATTGTCTCATTTAACCTAACAAGCCTATGTAGCAGCTATTTATATCTCTACTTTTATAGTTTACTGATTTTTGTTTTTTAATAAACACTTACATGGTAATTACTATTTTCTAATTGCTTTGCAAATGTTAATTTAATCAATATTGTTTTATCTCCATTTTATATTAGAGTTCAGTTACCCTCCCCCTTTATATCAGGAGCCAAGTGGCCACCAGACCCTTTTATTTTTTTAATTTGTTAGTATTTAGGGGGTTTCTGTAATGCATTTGAGGCGAATTTAATTCTGCTGATGTCTCTTGTCACCTAGGTTTGTATACAGAGTTCTTCAGGGATCCCTGTTTCCATCTCCAATTCTGAGAGCTAAGCACTTTGACAGACTAACTGCAGAGGAGAGGACTGAAGCTCTCAAGAAGTGGAGAGGGGCTGGAAAGATGAATCAAGTGACATCAAAGAATGCTAACCAATCAGCTGGCAAATCAGGAAGAAGACCCATGCCTGACTCTTCTGCTGTATTTGCAATGAAGTCAGCAACTTCGTGTGCTATTGAGCAAGGAAACTTATCTCTATGTGAAACTGCTTTAGATCAAGGCTGCTGTGAAACTAAGGCCTTTGAGATGGCTGGACCCTCCAAAGGTTAAGAAAGCCAGATACCCTCCTTGGAATTGCAAGTATTCTTTCAAGGTTGGAAGAGGGATTTTGAAACAGTATCTCTCCAAGCAAGAATTTTCCATAAGGGACAAGGCTTGGAAACCTGACATGATGAGGATCATTATTGTATGTTTGTATATGCATTTGTAATAGAGGGCTAGAGTTTGACCTAGACAGAGTTTAAGAATGAAACAGAACCAAATGCTTTTATAAAACTTTTTGGATTTTGTAAAAGCATTTTCATTCTTTTAGAAATTCAAATACTTTCAAGGGGAGTCATTTGAGATATATTTATTTTACTAGAAGATCTTATATTCTAGGGAAACGCTTTAAATGGGCAAGTTCTAGCCAGGCGCAGTGGCTCACGCCTGTAATCCCAGTACTTTGGGAGGCTGAGGCAGGTGGATCACAAGATCAGGAGTTCAAGACCAGCCTTGCCAACTTGGTGAAACCCCATCTCTAGTAAAAATACAAAAATTAGCTGGGCGTGGTGGCGCACACCTGTAATCCCAGCTACTAGGGAGACTGAGGCAGGAGAATTGCTTGAACCAAGACCCAGGAGGCGGAGGTTGCAATGAGCCAAGATCGCGCCACTGCATTCCAGCCTAGGCTACAGAGTAAGACTCCATTTCAAAAAAAAAAAAAAAGAAAGAAAAAAATGGGCAGGCTCCAATCTGAATTTTTTAATTAAGGAAAAAGTAGTTTTTAGATGAATTGGTTAGGACTCGGAGGAAATATGGAAAAAGCGTTGTAGATGGTTAATTTACAGGTAAAGTCCCAAGAGCCTTTTAAACAACAAGGTACCTAAAATAAGGTATACTTGTACTGCTTAAAATACAGTTAGTGACTATTTATAGCTTTTTATTTCCTATGGGAAGATGCTTTTAGTCTTCTGACTGAAGATGTAGGCATACCTCTCTGCTCATTTCAGTGTTTTCCTGAGGTGGAGCCTTCACTGGAAAGGGGAAAGAGGGATTCTAGGGTTTCATCAGGGATCAGGAATGCATTCCTCTCTCAGCTTCCAGTCAGGAGAAGACCTTTTATGAGATCTGCCTCTGTATAGATGTTGTCAATTAGGAAACTGAAGCCATAGGTCAGGCAGACATCAGCTCTGCCTGTAGCCTATTGGGCAATTTCCAGTGTTCTAAAACTGACAATAGCGTAATCAAAGTGATACAATCAATTTCAAAACAATCTTCTGGAGACCTCTTGAAGGTTCATAGTGTTTTACAATACCATGAGACTTTTCAGGTGTTGGAGCCTCTAAAATAAGAGATATAAACTGAAAATAATACAAGTTGTTCTCTGGAGGTTTCTATGAGGTTCTCAGAAAAATTTGGTTTTAAAATACATTTGAGGACAGGAATGTCTACAGCAAGTTTACTGCTATTGCAAATCATGTATGCTGGCTTTAGTTATAACAAAGAAACTATACTAAGTAAGGACAGGTGCTGTTATAAGATCATATATTCCTGTTGAAGTTCTTTTGAAATCCTATCTCTACGTATTGTATTTGAAAGTTGTCAGCCACCAATCATCTAGAATGTCCTTCCTGAGTCTCCATGCTCACATGCGATGTCTACATCAAGGTCTTCTTAATGACTGTTATTCTCAGGGTTTAGTTTTCTACCTTCTGCCAACTATTCTGGTCTGATATTTTTGTAGCTTTCTATTATTATTGCAAAGTCTTTTACATAAGCTGATTTCTAGAACTTTCAAAATCTACATAGCTAATGGAAGTTACTTTCTGCTTTCTTATGACTTTTTTTTTAAATAAACTGTTTCATAAATCATGTATACTGAAAAACTGTCATCACTCTTGTAAACATTTGCCGAATCCAACTGTGAATAGTACCAGAACTTAGAAGGAAAGTCACGAACCATGTCTTTTACCAGCATATTGCTTTTGCCTTTTCTTATATGGAAAATCACTGATGTCATATCATTTATTATCCTCATAGCAACTGCCATTCATTCCCTGAGATTGTCATCTTCTGATAAACAATAATTTAGAGATACATTCAGTTGTAAATAAAAAGGTTAGACTCTGAGGACAAAGAATGAGCTAAAAAACACTAAGAAAAAAATCAATTTTCAGAATGCCAATTATCTGTACATATGAATAGAGGAAAATATTGAGTGTTAATGTTATGGGGTCACAATCTCGTATCCACAATTCCAAAATCTCCAAACCTCTGAAAACTGAAATGTATTTCTTAAATTAGGCATAAATTCAATGTCCCGAACAAATTATAAGGCTATTTATGTACTTTACTTACTGTAATCTTCACATACTTTGCTACAGAAATATTAATATATTTCATTACTGAGTGCTAAACTGTATTCCTTTTTAAAAATTGAAAAATTTTGAATTCTGAAACACATCTGGACCTTAGGCTAAGGAGGTTGGAATCTGTATGAAGCCTTATAAATGGTGACATTTATAAGTCAATACTCTTTTATATAAAGTTACCCAAGCTGGTGTGTATTTCACCAAATTTGGGGGGACCAAGTATTATATCATTGCTCTCAGTAAACAAAATTGATTAATAGTATATATATTTGGGATATAACCTTATTACAAAAGATTTATAAAATAATTGTGTTGGGTTCCTGAAATTTATCCTAGATGTTAAAGATCTCTGCGCCCTTACCAGGACGAAAGTTCTCACTGAACACTCAGTGGGCAATTCGAGACTATTAGCAACCTCTAAGTTCAGACCAATCAAGGAGCCATTGGTCCTCTAAAATAAAAGTGCACACACCTGTGAGAGTGAGATATAAGGGAGGCGAACTGTGATTGGCAAACAGGTGCCAGCACGCCATTATAGAGATAGAAACAATTTCCTAGGACTTGTAACCCATATCCATTTAAAAAAAAGTGATTAGACCATTTTATTTGTATTAAGAATTATTTAAAATAAGTATAATATGTATATTTCACTGAACCTAAGTTGAGCAAGGCTAAAAGTTGATACATTAAGAATGTACCTACCACTATAGCAAAACTGACATACGTTCTTGAACTTTCATACAATCGTGACCACAATTCAGTTGCTAGATTTCACGCTCTCCTTAGGTTTATACAAACTGCAAGACAGGAGATGAATAATATGGAAATTATTAAGACAATTTTTTGAATTTCATATATGTTTACACATAGAAAAGTTAAAAAATACATGTATAAAATTGCTGGTAGTATCTATCTGGAATGCTGAGGCAGTCTAGGTTGCTGGTGGAGGTTAGTAGGGAATCCTAGTTGTTTAAAAGGCAAAATGGATGCCTAATTAAATCAGGTATATGTGAAGATTTGTGTTTTAAAGATTTTTAGTGGGAAAAATACTTTTAACCACTAATTGCTTCAGAAATTGATTTGCATAAAGTGTCCTAGTGCTTAAAATCATCTCTATAATTTTAATTACCATTGAGAAGAAACCAGATATTAAACATCTTTTGAGGAAAGTTACCAAATGTTTTACTCCATGCAAAGTTTTACAATGCTTTAAAATATAGTTTTTATGACCTTGTTGGCACACATGAGTGCAAGAAAACTGAAAAATATTTAATTGAGCAAGAGATGCAATTTAATTTTCTTTTTTAAAAATTGTATCTCTCATCTAAATTCTCCTTTGCAAAGCTTCTATCCAGTTCTTTGCCACATAAGTAAAACAAAGTATTGCCCATAAATATCAACCTAGTTGTTGCAGTCTCATCAGCCAACTGATATACACTGAAAAAACCCAGCTATGGGAAAGTTCTATAAAAACTCTTCTATAAAATTATAAGCTTGATATACATCCAGAATGGGGGTTCTATAATGCAAGTGTTAATACTGATCTCTAAAGAACTTTGCATTCAATATGTCTTGCTACCTATATGGATGACATTGGTCTTTTATTGCTGTCTTTTATCAGTTCTCAGAATTACGCAAACGTTAGAAGAGTAATAGTAAATACTTTAAATGTGTAAATTATCTTGGCTTTTAATAAATCAAAAGCAAGTCTCCAATGTTAACAGTGAAATTTACCACTATGCTGCTGAGTTGAGAAACAAAAACTGGCAGAGATAATTAATCAGCCTAAATCTCTATATCTTTTTTGTGATGGTATAAAAGAGAACATTCCATAACCTGTTATTGTAGCACCTGCATGATTTTAAATCCCTCTAGAGTTGATAATTTTGTGCTACAGTCATGGCTAGGCCTGGCAAAAGAACAAAGTCTGCTTTGTGTTATTTTTTGTAAAGCCTTTCATTGAACCTGAAATAAGAGAAAAATGAAGGTAAAAAATAAGTTGAGGAAAATTAGTCCAAAACAAACATGCAGATTTGCAGTACATGGTTGAGCAATTCTATCCATGAAAAGTGCTTCTGTACAGCTCTCTGCAGAAAGCTCTTCACAGTCAAGAAGACCATTTTCTGTTCGTGTAGCTGGCAAAAGTCTCTGATGATCCTTATAATTACTTTAGGAGAAAGGTCTGGATGTATATCTGTCTTTTGATCCATTCGATGAAATATGATACATTACTATAAACGCCAGGCCCGAGGACTTTGGAAAAGCAGACAGAGCCCCATGAAGTTAATCCAAATAATGTCCACTGTCCTCCAGGGTGCTCACAAACAAGAGGCCCACCACTGTCGCCCTGCAATGAGTAGTGGCAGGAGTTAGTAACTGGTATTTCAGAGCCTTAATGTGTGTCCATTAACCAACTTGGAAAATTTCAACAAAGCTTTCCTTGTCTGTCTGTGGAGGAATTGTGCTTTCCACTGTAAAAATGGAAGTTTCAAATAAACAACTTAAGCTCTGATCATTAAAAGGGTGGAGTGCCTTGGGAATAAATTATATTTTTTCCCACCAGGAAATTAAAAGACTTTTTCCGGCATTTTCTGCACTTACAAAAATATGTTAAAGTTTTTAAAAAGTACCAGAATTATCTCAAAATTGACCTCATTCTTTAAGCTTGATTTATCTTATAACTGTGAAAAGTACCCAAAATGGAATAAAGATCCCCCCCCACACACAGTTCTACAAACATATTCTAAAATACCTATTTTTTAAATTCTTGTTTTGTGAATGAATACATTAAATATAACACAATTTGGGGTTCCTCATCTCACTTCTTAATAGTTCTTAGGACTTTTTGATTTGGCATAGTTGAATAAAAAATGAGACCACTTAAAATTATTTATAATGAATATTTTCATTAATAGGCTATATTTTATTTCATATATATAGGGATTTTCATTCTTGATATTTAAGGATTCCAGTTAATTTTATCATTAACTATATTCCCCCAGCATTTTATCATTAACTTTATCCCCCAAATATAGTTAATGATAAAATGTTATGGGATTAGATATAGTAAGGTTTGCTACATCTGAAAAGAAAGGTGTATTCTGCACTGCCTGAAAAGAGAGGAGTTGATACCATGGAAAATAAAAAAGTAAATATGTGAATTTATTGTGGAAGATTACAAATATTCTTTAATCTACAAGACTTTCAAACTTAGAAGCATATCTATGGTTTCCTACTTGGTATTGTTGAAGAAAATAGGAATAATATTTCTTGATGCTCTTCTAAACATTTTCCATGTATTAGCTCATTTAATCTTTACAAAATACCTCACAGTTTATATTATTTATTGTAATAATATCTGTTTTGGAGATGATGAAACTGAAGCACAGGTTAAATAACTTGTTCATTGGCAGAGGCTGGATTTTAATCCAGGCAGTCTGGTAACAGGACTCAAACTCACAGTAACTACTAGGCTACCCTGCTTCTTAGGAATGTTAATTAATATTATTGCTATGAAAGGGAAATTGGGCCCGACACGGTGGCTCATGCCTGTAATCCCAGCACTTTGGGAGGCTGCAGCGGGCAGATCGCTTGAGGTCAGGAGTTCCAGACCAACCTGGTCAACATGCTGAAGCCCCGTCTCTACTTAAAATACAAAAACCAGCCAGGTGTGGTGGTGGAAACCTGTAATCCCAGCTACTCTGAAGGCTGAGGCAGGAGAATCACTTGAACTTGGGAGGCGGAGGTTGTAGTGAGCTGAGATCGTGCCACTGCACTCCAGCCTAGGAGACAGAGTGAAATTCTGTCTCAAAACAAAAAAGAAAGAGAAATTAAAATTTTGATTGTGCTGTATGCTTTTGTGTAAGTGGTGATCTTTAAATTCGTAACTTTCAAACGCCCTAAGCCAAAATCATAAGCACAGAACTTGCAAGAACCTGAATAAATTTTTCTGCTGAGACCCTAATTGAATTTTTTTTTAAAAAAGCAAAATTTCCTTGTTACATGTATGTAATGCATATACAAAAATGAAAAATTTCCTGGAAACATTTTACAAATTGTTTTCACAAATTTCATATTCCTAGAGATATTTCACTCTTGATCTCTTCTTACATAAAATAAATAAGACGCTTGGTTACTGAAGTGGAACTATCATGTCAGAGGGTGATTAAAATGGAACGTGTTTAGAATGTCAGCACATTTTCACTTCCAGATCAGACATTTAATAAAATAATTATTTAGCATCTACTCTTTGCAAAGTTCTGTGCTGGGTATAAACAAATGAATAAGGCACTGTTTTTGTCCCAGAGCAGCCAAAAGTTGGCTTGGGTAACAAGGGTCACATGAAAGCAAAATCTAATGGCTAGAAAGAGGGGTTCAAAGGAATGAGTGATGACTTCCAGGTGGAGAGGATAAAAATTGTCTTCCTGAGATGGAGGTTTTGAGTTAGGCTCAGTGAGTCAGGTAGGCGTTCCATTAGGTGCAAAACAAAAGGTGAAAAGCAATTCAAAATGAAAGGGAGACTGCAGCTGAAGGCACAATTGATCTAGTCTGTTATTTTGGTCCTCTTTGTCATATTGGGCTTGAAGCCAACATTTACATTTGGCTCCAATATTGATTTTTAGATTGTCAAGAGGAACCCACGCTTCATTATGTCCCGTTCATACAATTAAGGAAAGTAATATTTGTCATTCAACAGAGGTTTAAGTAGAAAAATTTGCTTCTGATCCAATAAAGAGTAGGTTTCGTTTGTTTTGTTTTCTACCTGAAGTTGTGTTAGAGAATATCTGGTATGCATTTAATATCCCCACACCACTGAACTCTCACTACCGAAGAAGTTGGCAAGACTTGGTTCCTATTAGGCATCATTTTAAGAACATGCCCGTGCCTGTGTCTGTGGGCCTTCAGGTCTCTGTCAAGGAATCGCCTTCCTTCCCCTCCATTAGCAATTGCCAAGAGATGATCGTGAATATGTGGAAGAGGTGCTAGTTTTTGGTAAACCTACAAATGCCACTGAGAATGGGACAAATGTATTTATATTAATCATTGCTGCCAGACTGCCTGGTTTCATATCCTCCCTCCACCACCTTCATGCTGGCTGATCTGGGGCAAATTACTTAACCTCTTGTATTCTTGATCTGTTTAGGGAAAATAAAGATACCGCCATATGGGTTGATTGTGATAATTAAATGAGTTAGCAGAAAGCATTTTGCAGAGAGCCTGAAACATAATAAGCACTAAACTGATAGAAACTGATAGATGTGAATATTGGTGTAATTATTATTCATTGGATGGCTAAGTTATGTGCCAGATATCATACACAGATATATGAAAGATATGGGTTTTTAAAGAAAGATACATTAACTCAGTTAATCCTCAAAACACCCTGGAAAATGGACAGAATTAGCCCCATTTTATTCATGAGAAAGCTATCTAGAGAGGTTAGATAACTTCCCCGGGTTATACTGGTCTTACTGACAGAGATGAGCTCCAACCCAGGTCTTTCAGGTTTCCAATCCTGTGCCCCATGCCCACATCATGCTGCCTCCTACAACACCTTATTCTGGGCCTGAAAAATCAAACCTGGTCCTCCTGTACAGAAGCGAGGGGTTCCTTTACCACCACGCAGCTCATCAGGATGACTTGAGACCATGAGGCAGAAAGGAAAACGTCTCTCAGCAAAACACCAAGAGAGCTGTCTGCCTCCTTCTTTCCCATGACAACTGTCTAAGGAATCACCACAGGGCCATTTTCAATACTCTGATTTTTCCATTCTAAAATGGATCCTCAAAAATATAATTTATTTACGTTGAGTTAGTGTTTAAGAGCATTATTGTATCTTTTCTTCATTACTAAACTGTAGGGGGCAATTTACTCCAAAGTAGTAAAATAACAAAGGTGCTTCACAGCAGCATAGTATCATAACTGCTGTCCCCAGTTTTTGTTATAAGCTTATTTGAGCCCTTGTACTTTTCCATCCTTTCCTGGGAGCCAGTCCAGTATAATGTTCAGTGAGTGTCTATTAAGTTTAAATAAAAACACATCTCTACACTATTATGTTAATATGTTCTACAAACTCCCAAAGCCATGAATCCTGAGTATCTAAAGGTTGAGTTCAGTGATATTTGATGGCATACTGGTGATCAAGAGCACATATCATCCAAGTGGCGACAACACCAGTGTGATGACCCCTGAGACAAAGGCAGTCCTGTCTCACACCCTGGACGTTGAGTGTTGATGTACGCCTTAATGTCATCACCCTGATGGCTGACAGTGTCGTCTGGTGCCTGCCCTGCTTCCTGGGGCAGCCAGGTGGAAGCCATGGTCACTACTAGCTCCTCTTAGAACCTCATTTAACCTACCCACTAAAGTGGTTGAATGAGATGAACAGGAACAATTATTTTTCTCCTGTTGCTGACCAAGGATGATGTGCCCCATAAAGTAGACGAGGCAGTAGAAGGTACCCTGAATGAAGAGGATGGGTGTAATTAGGTGGATTGCTTGTGTGCCCGCTGCAGGAAAATGTGCTGTTAATAATTAAACATTTGGCAACAAACGATTTTCAAAACATGTTTCCAAAGGGCCATATTTGAGTGATAATGAGTTTATAGGAATCCACTGAAGTTATTGCTGAACTGAATCTCCTTGGTAACCAGAAAGCAACTTACCATGCATGAATCAACTGTGCCAGACTCATAGCCAGCACATATCATCCGAGTGGTGATCGCCTTCATGTCAAAGTAGGACTGACACTGTTCCAGAGAAATAATGCGGACCTCTCCCTCTTGCAGCTTAAAAGGCACTGAATTAAAAAAAAGAAAGAAGAATACATATATGATGGTAAATGGCTCAAAAGTGAGGCTAACCATATGAAATGCAAACATCATATAAATATTTTTATACCAAGAGAATCATATTCTTTATCTGAAATGTCATTTTATAAAGACACAGCTTGTTTGGAATCAGAATTTTCCAGTTAGCAGTATTCATAGCAATTATCCAGTGAAACTTCTTTATTTTATTAATGGGAAAACCAAGGCCCAGACTGGTTAAGTAAGTTGGTTCATGCTTATCATATGCTACAACAAAAACAATAGCTACTACAAAGAAAAAAAAATCAACCCAGAGCTCTGCTGGCTGCCAGGTAGGAGGCTGCCAGCTCAGCATCAGCTCAGCATGATGGTCCTGCTCTGCTAAAGTAGAGAAAACTTGTTCAATCTAATAGGGAAGGGTTGTTCTATTCTTGATGAAAATAGTATGTCTCAGCATGTGCCCCAGCAGCCATTACTTGATGTAAGAACCTCTAATCTTAGAGGATATGACAGAGAGATGTTGAAAAGCACAAAGCCATCCCTTGGTATTGACAGAGAGAATATGTGAATTCCATCTTGCTTGAAAGTTCTTGAAGAATGACAATGGATTTCTTGAAGGAAGACAGTGTGAATCTTTTGCTGTTTAGCCATTCTGCAAAATTATACACACTGTTCTTCTTTTAAACAGTGATGATGAAACATCACTGGGTACCTTATTGGAAGAGTCATTTTTAGAAAAATCAATGGATGCAGACAGTAGAAGTTTAATAGGTTGTCAAAAGAATAAGAACAATAGCTAACATTTATTGAGCTCTAGTGGGTCTCATTGCCTTTAATCTTTACAAAAATCCTGTAAGGCAGTTGCTATTTTTGTTCCATTTTATAGTAAGCTTGAAAGTGGTATAGTCAGATCAATCAGATCTTTCTGACTTAATTCAGCAGAACTTTGCTCTTTTTTTTTTTTAGACAGGGTCTCATTCTGTCACCCAGGCAGTGGTGCAATCTTGGTTCACTGCAGCTTAGACTTCCAGGTGCAAGAACTCATCCTGCCTCAGCCTCCCAAGTAGCTGGGACTACAGGCACACACCACCACTCCAAGCTAATTTTTTTTTTTGGTAGAGACAGAATTCCACCATGTTGCCCAGGCTGGTCTCAAACTCCTGGGCTCAATTCATGCTATGCTACATGTGTGGGGTGTGCATTATGTTGCACTATTTCTCTGAGTTTAATATGGATATTGTAGGAGGAATATAAGCAGAAACAATATAAAGCATATTCTTCCTTAAATTACAGTATTAATTAATCATAGTTTTGGAAAAAAAAAACATGCATAAGGATGGTGACAGCATGTCTAACATTGCCTTCAAAATTGTTACATGTGAGTTTTTTTTTTGAAAAAGTCATTGACTTTTCTGCCTGCTGACTTTTCCTTTCCATTCTTTAATTGATGAAATAGGCAAGATGCTCAACTCAGTTCAAAACTTATCTGACTAAATTTTAAGGAAAAAAATCCTTCAAATATACAATTTCCAAGGCCAGTAACAGAATGCCAGTATACATTATCATTCTTGAAAGACATGGCATTATGCTGGATATGGTCAGAGTAGGCAGCACTTACAGTTTTTTTTATAAAGTCTCATTGACTCAATTCTTATTCTAAGTTTTAAATAGGTCATACTGAATGAAGCAGTCCACTGTAGGGGTTGAGAGTAAGTACATAGTACAGATTTTTAAATTTCTATGTGCTTTATATGTTTAAGTCACCTACAGAGCCAAACAATTTAAATCAATTTAAATAGGCAAATAGCAAATCAATATGCTTTCTTGAAGGGCTTATAGGTTGTGCTACAGATGTTGATGAGACCAAATCATAACACAGAATTGGAAATATAACCATGAAGCTTGACTGCAGAGATTCCCAGTGACTGTCTCTATCAATGATTTGGGCTATCTGCAGGCAGACAGAGACAGTCCAAAGCACAGTTCACTGACAGGTCTCCTCCTGCAGCAAGGAAGCTCCCAAAACATTGATAGTAGCTCCCTGGAGAGAGATTCTGAAGTGTGGAGAGGGATTTTTGAGGTTGCATCTGAGCTTGGCAGTTTTAAATGCCATGGTTCATTATTAATGTCTATGATTTGCACAGCAGAGGAAGTATGACACATCGCCAAGTATTCACCATTTGTGGCTATCTTTTTGTAAGAGAAAATGGGAAATTATGGCCAAATAAACACAGTGTTTCTCAGGCTCCTGAAGATCCTGGCTGATATAGTTTTGCTGTGTTCCCACCCAAATCTCATCTTGAATCGTATTTCCCATAATCCCCACATGTCATGGGAGCGATCCAGTGGGAGGTAATTAAAACACAGGGGTGGTTACCCTCATGCTGTTCTCATAATAGTGAGTTCTCATGAGATCTGATGGTTTTATAAGGGGTTTTTCCCCCTTTTGCTTGGTTCTTCTTGCTGCTGCCATGTGAAAAAGGACATGTTTGCATCCCCTTCTGCCATGATTGTAAGTTTCCTGAGGCCTCCCAGCCCTGCAGAACTGTGAGTCAATTAAACCCCTTTCCTCTATAAATTACCCAGTCTCAGGTATGTGCTTATAGCAGCATGAGTATGAACTAATACAATGGCTTACTTTTATTGCCCATGTGGCCCCAGCCTGTGATATAGCAATACGTGTCAGGCTCTAGCCACTGCTCTGGGCTGGGCAAGCAGACAGGCCGAACATAGCCAGTCTCATTGATGTCTTCACTTAGCTCAACGATGCTGATGTCATAGTCCACCACTGCTCGACTGTAGCGAGGATGCAGGATGATGGTCTTCACAAAGCGTGTCTGCATGAACACTGATGGATGGTCCAAATTGTTGATGCCAAGCACCACTTTCCAAACTGCAGCATTCTCTCTCCTAAAATAATAATGCAAGAGCTACTGGCATCTTAAACTCTAGTTTATCTTGTAAAATTCACGTGTAATTTTTAAACATTTTATTTATGTAAATAATGGCTACTTTCATGCTCACCTCTCAGTGTATTCATATAAGAGGCATTTATATAATAGCCTGAGTGATTAGCATAGCTCATGATTTCTGAATGGGGCTAGTCTTTTTTTTTTTTTTTTTTTTTGAGGCAAGAGTCTCACTCTGTCGCCAGCTGCCAGGCTGAAGTGCAGTGACGCAATCTCGGCTCACTGCAACCTCTGCCTCCCGGGTTCAAGCAATTCTCCTGCCTCAGCCTCCCGAGTAGCTGGGACTACAGGCACCTGCACCACGCCTGGTTAACTTTTGTATTTTTAGTAGAGACAGGGTTTCACCATGTTAGCCAGGATAGTCTCGATCTCTTGACCTCGTGATCCTCCCACCTCGGCCTCCCAGAGTGCTGGGATTACAGGTGTGAGCCACCGTGCCCGGTGGGGCTAGTCTTTAACATAAAACTTGTTCAGTTTTAAAGGCCAGCGGGGTTAGTTACTTGCTTCACAGGATGAGCAAGATAATAAAAAGCTATGAAGAAGAGAGAGAAGCAAGAGGAAAAGTGAAAAAGAAGAAAAAGCCAAGACTAAGAAAGAAGTATACATATATGATGGTAAATGGCTCAAAAGTGAGGCTAGCCATATGAAATGCAAATATCATATAAATATTTTTATACAAAGAGAATCATATTCTTTATTTGAAATGTCATTTTATAAAGACACAGCTTGTTTGGAATCAGAATTTTCCAGTTAGCAGTATTCATAGCAATTATCCAGTGAAACTTCTTTATTTTATTAATGGGAAAACCAAGGCCCAGACTGGTTAAGTAAGTTGGTTCATGCTTATCATATGCTACAACAAAAACAATAGCTACTACAAAGAAAAAACAAATTAAGCCAGAGCTCTGTTCGCTGCCAGGTAGGAGACTGCCAGCTCAGCGTCAGCTCAGCATGATAGTGCTGCTCTGCTAAAATAGAGAAAACCTGTTCAATATAACAGGGAAGGGTTGTCTCTTTTAATGTCTTCGCCACCAGCCCCCAGGTATGGCAGAAACTAAAAGCAAAACAGGAAACAACCCAACTTATTGTTTGAAAGAGTTTTCTAGAGTGAAGGACATGTGCATACATGGTAGAAGCAAAAAGAAGGAGGACAATTTCAGGCTACATGATTGCCACATGAGTTTAATATCAGTTCGAAAGTACAAATTAGCTGGGTGTAGTGGTGCGTGCCTATAGTCCCAGCTACACAGGAGGCTAAGGCAGGAGAATCACTTGAACCTGGAGGGCAGAGGTTGTAGTGAGCCAAGATGGCACCATTGGACTCCAGCCTGGGCCACAGAGTGAGACTCCATCTCAAAAAATAGAAAAGAAAAAAGTACCATTGGAGAAACACATGGAAACGGACTCTGATCATATGACTATTTTAGTAAAAAGAGTTAAATTATGGCCGGGCACAGTGGTTCACATCTGTAATCCCAGAACTTTGGGAAGCTAAAGTGGGCGGCTCACCTGAAGTCAGGAGTTCAAAACCAGCCAACACAGCAAAACCTCATTTCTACTAAAAATACAAAAATTAGCTGAGTGTGGTGGCTGGCACCTGTAATCCCAGCTACTCAGGAAGCCGAGGCATAAGAATTGCTTGAACCCAGGAGGCGGAGGTTGCAGTGAGCCGAGATTGTGTCATTGCACTCCAGCCTGGGTGATAAGAGTAAAATTTTGTCTCAAAAAAAGAGTTAAATTAGGCTACCAATAAAAGAAAGCCAAAGATAGCAGCCAAAAATCTTCAGTTTAAAGGGAATTACTTGCTGTTTGGCTGTCAAGCCTTCAAAGCAGCAGCAAGGAGAGCTGGCACATCCTGAAAGAAGTTTGTGCAAAGAACTTCAGGGTGTGACAGGAAGGAAGCAGGCCAAGGTGAAGCCAGGTGAGAATCCACCAATCCCAGGGAAAACAGCTGAGGAAGATGTTAAAACACCTTGCTATTCTTTGTTCTCACTGTGGATAGTATTTTACTCCTTGAAATCACACTTGCTTTCAGGTCTAATTAGCTTCATGTTTATACTATTGTTTTAATAATAAATGTACTTTATAGACAACTTTATAGCTTGTATGATTTCAGCTTACAATTCTTCAATTATTAACGCTAGAAAAAAATACTCAGCTATTTACATACGTCAGACACACTATAGCATCTAGAAAAATTTATACAGAATTGCAGGCACAATGTCTCTGGAGGCAATAATCAGTCCCTTTGGTTTGCAATTTGCCACACTCAGCTCTAGTTTAGACATCAAGTTTTTCACTCAATTCAGCTAGACAAATTTAAAGATTTTTATCTTTGTCTTTTCTTAGGAGTGAAAAGTTTCTCTTCTCTCACTCTCTCTGATTTTCTTAGAATATCTTATATTTAATATTTTTCCTGTTTAATAAGTTAATATTAAAATTAGCACCTATGATAGAAATTTCTCTGTTTTACAAGACTTACTCCAGAAATAGCATAGCTAAGTGATGATTTGGAGATCATTTGGAGATACATACAGGTTACCAAATATGTAATAAATAAAGAAATATTACACTATATCATCACTGCTGTTCTACAAATCTTAGGAACCTCTTACTTTTAATATTGTGCTCTGTCCTTGATATTTTATTTTTATTTATTTTTTTAATTTTTGAGATGGAGTTTCACTCTTCATCCAGGCTGAAGTGCAATGGCATGATCTCAGCTCACTACAACCCCTACCTCCCTGGTTCAAGCAATTCTCCTGCCTCAGCCTCCTGAGTAGCTGGGATTACAGGCACCTGCCACCACGCCTGGCTAGTATTTTGTATTTTTAATAGAGACAAGGTTTCACTATGTTGGCCAGTCTGGTCTCAAACTCCTGACCTCAGGTGATCCACCCATCGTGGCCTTCCAAAGTACTGGGATTACAGGCATGAGCCATTGTGCCCGGCTATCCTTGGTATTTTAAAAGAATTATCTGTAACAGACAAGGTGAACTTTTTTTTTTCTTCAACTTTTAAGTTCCGGGGTACATGTGTAGGAAATGCAGGTTTGTTATATAGGTAAACATGTGCCATGGTGGTTTGCTGTACAGAACAACCCATAACCTAGGTATTAAGCCCAGCATCCATTAGTTATTCTCTCTGATGCTCTTCCTTGCCCCAATCCCAGCCCCAACAGGCCCCAGTGTGTGTTGTTCCCCCACTATGTGTCCATGTGTTTTCATCATTCAGCTCCTACTTGTCAGTGAGAACATGTGGTATTTGGATTTCTGTTCCTGTGTTAGTTTGCTGAGGATAAGGCTTCCAGCTTCATCCATGTCCCTGCAAACGACATGATCTTATTCCATTTTATGGCTGCATAGTCCATGGTGTATACATACCACATTTTCTTTATCCAGTCTATCATTGGTGGGCATTTGGTTTTACTCTATGTCATTACTATTGTGACTAGTACTGCAATGAACATGTGCATACATGTGTTTTTTGTTTGTTTGTTTGTTTGTTTTGAGATGGAATCTCACTGCGGCCATATCTTGGCTCATCACAACCTCCGCTTCCTAGTTTCAAGTGATTCTCCTGCCTCAGCCTCCTGAGTAGCTGGGACTACAGGTGTCTACCACCATTCCGGGCTAATTTTTGTATTGTTAGTAGAGACGGGGTTTCGCTATGTCGACCAGGCTGATCTCAAACTCCTGATCTTGTGATTCACTCACCTTGGCCTCCCAAAGTGCTGGGATTACAGACAGGCATGAGCCACAGTGCCCAGGCTGCATGCATGTGTCTTTATAATAGAATGACTTATATTCCTTTGGGTAGATACCCAGTAATGGGATTGCTGGGTCAAATGGTATTCCTGCTTCTAAATCTTGAGGAACCACCACACTGTCTTCCACAAGGGTTGAACTAATTTACATTCCCACCAATGGTGTAAAAGCATCCCTTTTTCTCTACAGTCTCACGAGCATCTCTTTTTTCTTGGCATTTTAATAATTGCCATTCTGACTGGCATGAAATGCTATCTCATTGTGGTTTTGATTTACATTTCTCTAACGAGCAGTGATGTTGAGCTTCTTTTCATATGTTTGTTGGCCACGTGAATGTCTTCTTTTAAGAAGTGTCTGTTCATGTCCTTTGCACACTTTTTAGTGGGTTTTCTTCTTGTAAGTTTGTTTAAGTTCGTTACAGACTCTAGATACTAAATCTTTGTCAGATAAATAAATTGCAATTATGTTTTCTCATTCTGTAGGTTGTCTATTCAATCTGATGAGAGCCCTTCTTTTGCTGTGCAGAAACTCTTTAGTTTAATTTGATCCCATTTGTCAATTTTTGCTTTTATTGCCATTGCATTCAGTGTTTTTGTCATGTAATCTTTTCCTGTGCCTATGTCCTGAATAGTATTTCCTGGGTTTTCTTCCAGAGTTTTTATAGCTTCAGGTTTTACATTTAAGTCTTTAATCCAACTTGAGTTAATTTTTGTATAAGGTGTAATGAAGGAGTCCAGTTTCTAATTTTTTGCTCATGGCTAGCCAGTTCTTCCAGCACCATTTAATAAATAGGGAATCTTTTCCCCATTGCTTGTTTTTGTCATGTTTGTCAAAGATCAGATGGTTGTAGGTGTATGGCCTATTTCTGAGTTCTCTATTCTGTTCCATTGGTCTATGTGTCTGTTCTTGTAACAGTACCATGCCGTTTTGGTTACTGTAGTCTTGTAGTATAGTTTGAAGTTGGGTAGGGTGATGCCTCCAGCTTTGTTCTTTTTGCTTAGGATTGTCTTGGCTATGTGGGCTCTTTTTTTGGTTTCATATGAATTTTAAAATAGTTTTTTCTAATTCTGTGAAGAATGTCAGTGGTAGTTTAATGGGAATAGCTTTGAATCTATAAATTACTTTGAGCAGTATGGCTATTTTCACAATATTGATTCTTCTATCCATAAACATG